TTCGATCGAGTCAAAAAACCACTACGGGGAACGCGTTTTAACAGCCGAAAGGAGGTAATGGAAAAATCAAAGACAGCTCTGATGGCTATACCGACAATAGAGTTCCAGAAATGTTTCGAGAGCTGGATCAAGCGCTGGCATAAGTGCGTTGCAGTCGATGGGGAGTACTTTGAAGGGGACAATATCACTTTTGATGAATAAACTTGTATTTTGAATTTTCTGAATGAATTCCGGGAACTTTTTGATCAAGGTGGTATTCTGTGCTGTCTGGGCATAACATTAGGATGATATCATCAAAATGGCTTTAAAATGGTTACTAATAATTTTTTCCCGCATCTACCAATATAGTTTAATTTTAATCTTGTTGATTCAACTACTCTTTATCTTTTTCTAATGCCCATTTCTACTACTGTAGATAAATTTTAACCTTGGTTTAACTTGCTTTTCATTTTTTTAAATTCGAAAAATTAGAAAAGAATACAGTAATTTTTCATATATAAAAAAACTGAGGTTAAAGTTAATCTACATTGGTATAAAACGGGTATAAAAGTTACTTTTCAATCAGTCGCGATTCATTTTAATGTCATTTATTTGATGTTATTATAATTTATGTTGTTCCGCTTGGAGTTTTTAATTCGTGTATCTCTATATTTTCGCAGATTGCATTAAGGGCGACGATGTTGGAGCATGAGAATGCAATCTTAAAGGCGCAGATAGTGACTCTTCGAGAGGAGGCGCAATCGTTACGGCACATGTTGATCAAGCAACATACCCCGGCGATACAATCGATCGAACGATCGCTTTCGTCGATGACACCTGTGACGCTCTCTCCTCCGCACACGACCGCAAGCTTAGATTGTTAATTCCTGGAGATTTTTTCGAAAAGCGTGTACGAATGTTTAAATATAGGAAACTCAAATCCATGCAATTTACACAGACACGTTCACATAGCAAAGAACACGCGCGAAAATAATCTTTATTACGTCTTTATTCGTAACGACCGATTTTCATAAAGTAAAACAATTCAGAAAGTACCCCGTATTATTAAATATATTTCTCTTTCTCTCTTTTTCTCTGTGTTATGCAAATAACAGAAAAAAGAATCCGAAGAGATTTAATTCAGAGATTTTATTATTTATTATTGTTGAAATTATCATCAATTTTAAGTGTAATTATATATAACTGTTGCTTAAATGCTAATAAACAGAGATGGTTCAAGATATATAAACGGAAACTGATGTGTTTTTTATACGAATTAATTGTCCCAAAAGTTATCTCAATAGGGTCTTCCTCGAATATTTTCTTTTTATCTAAAACAATGCTTCTACCCGTAAAAACAAAAGTTACAATAACAAAAGTTACTAAAAATCAATCAATAATTTTTTTTAATAAGTTAAAAATCACGTATGTTTTGAACGCTCATTTATTCGCGCCATATCCTGCTGAATCGTGACGTCACACGCTATAAGCCAATCACACTTTCTTTTCGCTCCTCTGTTTTTTAATAATTTTTAATAATTTTTTGGCCGTAAATGAGTATTGCTAATATTGATAAATGGATCTTATGAACAATGCAGATAATTTAAATCTATAAATATAATTTTTTTATGACTAAATATTCACTATTTTATTAAAATAAGTTAGGTTAGGTCGGTGACAGCTGTTGTTGACAGTTGATTTAAAATTTACATAAACCGATGTGAAATGGCAGAAAATTTGCAGAAACGAGTAATGGCAGAGAAAAAAAGAAATTACAAGTGGTGTTTTGTGCCTTCATGCACTCAAAACAATATCTGTTCTCCATCAACAATTTTCCTGTCAGTGCCAAAAGGAGAGATTCGAAGAAAATGGTTCGAAATCTCAGGCCGAACTGATGCTTCAACTATATCGCTGACTAGTAGTTTGTTTTGTTGTGAACACCATTTCAATGTAAGTCATATACCTAAAATATAATAAATTAATCCTAAATAATTCAAAATAAATTGATTTTATGTTTGCAGTTAGAGGAGGATGTTGAAAATTACATGCAAGTCAGGTTCATTCCAAACGTACTCATTCGCTTAAAGAATGGAGTTATGCCGACAAAATTTGCTTGCCAGCCTCATCGAGAAACATCAGATGCAAGCAACATTAATGTTATTAATATTGGTATCATTCAAATAAAAATTAATATTATCGAATTACATTATATGTGAATATAATAAATAATGTAATACTTACAGATCGTCAGTAATACTTACAGCTGCACAGTCTTCGCATCGAACATATTCGACCTTGTCTATCTCTTCGTTAACAAGCATCGATACAGAGTAAGGTTTATTATTTACTCTATGTTCAGGACATATTTTCCCTCGGACTTGGCAGAAATTACCTTCACGTTTTACTTCAACGTATCCCACAGCTGCATCACCATAATCTTTATCTTCAGCCCTGTAAAATACAGATATTGATTGTGGAACTATATTAAACTTTTATATATATTGAATGTATGTAAAGTGTGTAAACACCTTTTAGCTTTAACACCTCTTGTCTCTGCCACGTTAAAAAATTCATTTTCACTAAAAAAGTCAGCAACCATTAAAACGTTTAATTTTGGTAAATTATCCGATTGAGCTTTAACAAAACCTGTAATATTTCTCGCCATGTTGTAACTGATTACTTAGGGTGCGTTCCGTTTCTTGCATGATGTGCATAATGCATCATTTATCCTTGTTTAACATTCGGTGAATAACAAGGATAAAAGATGCATTATGCGCATCATGCAAGAAACGGAACGCACCCTTAGTAATTCGCATGATCCGTTAAATATCACATTTGTTTTGTTTATATATCTTATGTATGTGTCATTTACATGAAGTATGTATTTACAACGTTTAAACTTACCGGGCTCTGCTGAATCGTGACGTCACGGCCAATCATATTGCGTTCACTCCCCACTCATTTTTTAAGCACTTTTAATCGTTTTTAATAAAAAATCCTATTATTAATATCACTTTAAATTACTTTTAAGTTAATAAAAAGCGTATAAAGTAATTAATTATAATTTTTTACACATTTCAATTTTTACAAATAAGACCCTATTATCAATATCTCGCGAAAAAAGAACAATTTTCTATGAAATTGATGTTAGAAAAATTCACTCGTGAGACATCTAGCGGCATAATGCCGCTTAAAAAATGAAACACTTAAAAATTTATAACCAACAATAGGTATATGCTTAAAAGATAACTATAAAAAAAAAAATTATAATCCTTTTTATACATATTAAAAAAAAACATTTAAATTACATTTTTTAAATAAGGAGATGGAAAATCTGGATAAAGATTTAAATAAGGTATATCTATGATATGCGTGTGCATTTTTGCAAAGTAGATACGCTGTAAAGTTTTTTTTCAAAGTGTCTAATTTAATTACAACATTCCAATTAATCCTAATTCAAATTCATTCCGTATAAACTATTTTCTTTATTTTTTTTTTGAAAAATTACCGAGACAATAAGGACATGATAAATAATGTGTGGCAGTGATTTATAATTTATATATATGTATGTATACATAATACATATATACATATACGCACATGCACACGTACATATGTATGTTGATATTGATTCTCTTTTCGTAGTATGTGTGTATATAGGGAATTTATATACACTAAAAAAAATTAGATTGTCGCCCCACATGCCCATCTTATTTACCGTATAAAAAGTACTTTAATTACAATACAATAAGAAACATTGCGACGTACATTTTTGTTGAATTATATTATATATAAACCTTCTCGGTGTGCGTCCCTATACTAATTTAACTATTTATACGAATACAGGCTACTCCTACAAGGAGAATGTAGATACAGAGACACATAAAGATGATACATAGACGTTCTAAGTAGATACAAACGCGCAACTATTTTTATTTAAGGGAAAAAACAGAAAAAAAGAAGAGAGAATAATGTATACGTCCATCTATCTATTATCACGCACATCTACGTGTGTGTATTCGCGTCGAATGACGCAAATTCTCTAATTTTCGCCGATGCGAGACTTTGCAAAACTGCAAACACAGCGTATCTTCTCGTGACACTTTTTAACAACACTGTCGCGTTTAACTTTACAACTGTACTTAGTCCTAAAGTGTCGGCGAGATCAAATTTTTACAAATGCCGTTAACCTCGTCTAGAACAATGCTTTGAACGACATCTCGCGAAAGAAACTTATCGTTTCGTCGCAAAGGAAACTTATATCTCTAATTACAATTAACGATATACATATACAATGACACCATCTGATCGTTATACGACCATGCCGTCGTCGTTCAGAGTTCCTACTCCGTTCCTTCACTCTAATACGCTAACATTTAAATATTTATCTATGAAGGCATTACATACTTGTTTTTCTGTAAAAACCCAGAATCGATGACGACAACAATGTCGACAAAGACACGAATCGTTCGCAATGCAATTGCGTTCTAGATCGCACGTCGATTCATTGAAAATGGCAGTAATCGTGGATGGTAACGCAGAATTATTCAAATCATTGTACAAATCAATTGGCCGCTATTACAGCGGCCGCCGCCGCTGACGACGACGATGTTGACGAGGATGACGACGAGGACGACGATGATTTCTTCTTCAGCACGATGTCCTTGATATTGAGATTGACCTTCTCCTTGTGCAGCGGCGGTACTGATTGCAGACAGAATCGCTTGAAGGCCTCCAGCTCGCGCTCATCATCATCCATCTCCTCGTCGTTCTCGAGGTCTATATCTTTGGGCGTGAATACCTCTGTAAAAGACACGCTCTCAATACTCTGGATACACCGACAGCCCGCCTGCGAGTGCGACAATAATTGGTAAAATCTGCTGTGCATTACTTCTCTTTCTCTTGTCTACTGTGTGAGTAGAAGTATAAAGAGATGAGAAAAAAGGGCGACAACTATGTCAACGTGTGTTTAACGTCTTGGATATCGTCCAGACAATGTCGAGGTATTCGTCACGCACATTCGTGGAGCAACATAAAATCAACGAAATATCCATGTCGGGTTTGTGAACACTTCTCAATGACGACAACCCACGTGAGCAACAGTACTCTATTAGAATTGTTATGCTTCATTACCAGTACAATTGTTAATATTCGTTTTATTTTTCCTAACTTTCTTCATCGCTGTCATTAATAAAGATATTACTCACAAGAAATAAAGAAAAAATAATAAGTGTGACTACCCATACTCATGCAGCATTTTAGGAAACGTCTAATCTGATAAAGGGGAAAAGAGAGTATAACGTTGAAAAAAAATAACTTGCTTTTTTATTTAATATTATCAGTAGATTTAAAAAACATCGTATATCACATTCGTGTATCTATCATCATCACAATGAGACGACCCCTACATTGTCAATACAAATCGAGTAATTTGTCCATTAATTTTCGTCGGTCGATCTCGGTTAAAACTGCGATTGAAAAAGATATAATAAAAATATCGTATATAATTTTATACCAGTATTTTTCGGTTTTATATATTTATATTGTATATATATATATATTATAAAAAAATATATACATAACAAATATAAAATATAATATAAATATATATATTTTATAATACATTTTATTGTATCAATTAATACGATAAAACTAACTCAATACAAATCAATACAATGTATATACTAATATACAGGTAACTTTTCAGTGTTATACGTTGTTGTTATTATTATATAATACTGATATAATTCTATGCTGTCAGATCCAATAAACTGTAGTAAATTTTCTCTATCATTATATTTAAAAATATATATATTTGAATAAATTTGGAACACTTTTTGATTATATATTCTAATAATCCAGTATAATTACAAGTTCCTAATTGCAGTTTTATCAAAATAAAAATGCAATACCAATACACAGTTACCGCTGACACTATTTTCGGAATTCAGTTCCTGATTTAAAATAATTTTGTATTACGTATGGATTTTCTCCCGTCCCCTATCTTTCCATCATACATTCGTTCATCTTTATATATTTGCACGGCGTCTTATCGAGATGGCACTGCCTCACGTTCTGCATTCAAATGAGAAAGAAAATAAAGACCGCAAAAATCTGCGTCTACATCCAGACACAATTAACTACTCTTTAAAAAAAGAGCAAAGTGATTTGGATTGTTGGAACAAATCTTGTGGATCAGAAAAAAATTAAAAAAAGAAGATCACTGACCATTTGCCTTTTTTTCTTCCTACGGCGATCTCCTCAAGAAATCAACTCTCGAAAATATCTCTTCCTCTCCTTTCCATTTTCTTTTTTCTCTTTCATTCGCGAATACTTGATATCTCAAAAATCTTTTAACCTAGCAGACGACATAGTATCCTAACGTGGGGCAATGCTCTCTCCTGACGGCACGAAGTGAAAGAAACAAAATCGTTTATAGTGCGATGAACCTACAAGCGTCCAAAGGAGATACGTATGGGTAGTTTCCTTCATAAAAGAAAGAAACGAGATCTAGCCGCTGCGAACGTGAGAAACAACCCGGGGAGGATGCGTGCCTGTTTAATGTATTTGTGTAATGTATAACGTATGTTAAAGAAAACAAACAAAATGAAAGAAGCAGATTTACATGTTAAAGTTTGATTATTGTTGTTTCTCACCAACGAGGTCCAAGTCATCTCCGCACTGTCCCGTGCCGCTTCCGCGTTTTTTCTTTTTCTTGCTTTTGCCACTGCTTCCGCCGCCGTTGGCCGAAATAGCATTTATCGCCGCCTCCTTCATCGCGGTACACTTCGCTGATACCTGTCGCGCGTCCTCCATACTCGTTGCCTCGGGCCTCACCTTCGTCAGGGTGACGCTAGTACCCTTGAGATTGATGCCGTTCTCTGGTATCGGTTGGCCATTCGTCATCTGGCTGATCTGGATATTGGCGAGCTCGGACAAGGATGATGTGCAATCTGACTGCGCGCTCAATCGGCTGCGCAATTCCGCCAGGCTTGATGATATGACACCGTTGGCGTGTTTCACGCTCAGCTGACCGCAATCATTCGTCGTCGTTCTACCCGCCGATGACGATGATAGATCGCCCTTGACTATGTAATCTGGTTTAGGTGATGACGTCAAGCCCGCATTGATCGCCTGTTGCAGAGCTGGACTTCGAATCGTCACCATGCCATTCTCCGAAACTTTAATGATCGCAGCCTGCTGTGTCGGTGGCACTTTCATTGGTCCAAACGATGGGTTCCTGATAGTCACCATGTTAGTTCCGGGATTGTGCAGTATCCTCGCCGGTTCGTCGATCATGTGATCATTCACGAACGCGTCGTTATTTTGCACCGGCGACGAAACCGCCGTGTTGCCCAAATTGGCTGAATTCTTATTTTTTTTCTTTTTCTTTTTACCGGTAGTAGTATTTTGAGGCTGCGAATCTTTCGATGAATCTATATAGAGAAAATAAAAAATTAAATTTGTATAAAATATTGATGAAAATAATATAAACCTTGAAAATATATAAAATAATGTAAACATTGACTAAAAGATGAACATTTTATATCGGGGGAAAAAGCATTTAGAAATTTAAAATCTTTGAAGATACTTCCAATGATTGTTAATAAATAACATTTTAATTGTTTAAAGAATTCCATTAGCTCTTCATA